GCTACCAGCCTAGTTTTTAGTCTGCAGATAATCTTACTCTCATTTAGATGTTTGGGCTGTATTACTTTGCCCAGCGTAGGCGCAGCCATTGGAATCCATCCAGTTCACCTAACAACTTTCATTAAAGAACATTGCCCTTGTAATAAAAATTACTCAGTGTGACAAGATTCCATAATATATTTTTTTAAAGCCTCGTAAAATTTTGTAGCAGTTAATGTCACTTGTTTGTTTTTTGAGATTTTCTTTTAAAAGCAAAAATTGACTTAATTGTGACAATATTTGTAATAGAACGAAATAAATATTTTTCCGTCTGGGTGTGTGGAGGCCAGGCCGGGGAGCAGGAATAGTGCAGGGATAAGGAAATAAGAAAACCTTGTCTTTGAAAATTATGTTTCACTGTGTTTTGTACGTTGTTTTTGAGGTTGCTTGGAAGTCTGTGACTCTTTAGTAAGGGAAAGTAGATACAATAAAGTCTGCTCACTTGCAGTTCATGATATGTAAGTCTTAACCTTATAAAATGCAACTGTCAAGCATGGATTTTTCTGCAGCAATTGGGAACAGCTTATCTGAGCATCATCCCTCCTGGCTACAAGGACAGTGGTTGGTATGTGTGTCCCCTGTATCAGTGAGAATACATGGGTGCTGATGGAGTACCTGTAGCTTTTCCTTGCTTCTTCCAGCCATCAGGGATATAAGAAGATTCCTAATGTGTGAGACATTTCTTACCAATGTGGCATAGAGCAGGCTACTCGCTGCAAGCATGAAATGCTTTGGTATTTTTTTACTATGGAAATGTAGTAAAGAAGTGCTAAAGAACCAAACCCGGCATTTGGGAATGGAATGGGAAGTCAGTGGATTTCAGAGTTCCTGCTGTCTCTTTGCAGAGTACTCACCTGAGAAAACTCTGCAGCTCCAATGCCTTCTTTTCTCCTGTTACACTATGAAAATGGGGAAATCTCTCAGTTCTTAACTGCTTGTTCATTAATAGATATAAATCAATGTGTCTTCAGTTAGTCTGTAGCAGAGCAGCCATCATCATCACTACAGATATGGTCAAGTCCAGTGACATTTTGTTCACTTGCTGGTGTGTGTCTTCCTGCGTAAGACCAGATCCAAAAACATGCTAGTGTTTCTTGGTAGCTGGCTCAGCCGTGCTATCCTCATACCCCTGGAGGAATCGGTTAGGCTGCCTTCAGGTGTCACCACAGATGAAATTGCACAACAAACCACGACAGTTCAGAAAGGTGTATGGTGCCAAAATGTAAAATCACCAACACACAGGCGGAAGACAAACCTCTGGGATCTTTCGCAGTCTCTTGAGGCTTGCCAATGTGACGCCCATCTACAAGAAGGGCTGGAAGGAGGATCCGGGGAACTACAGGCCTGTCAGCCTGACCTTGGTGCCAGGGAAGATTATGGAGCGGTTCATCTTGAGGGCGCTCACAAGGCATGAGCGGGATCAGGCCCAGCCAGCACGGATTCATGAGAGGCAGGTCCTGCTTGACCAATGTGATCTCCTTCTATGTCCAGGTGACCCGCCTAGTGGATGAGGGAAAGGCTGTGGATGTGGTCTACCTGGACTTCAGTAAGGCCTTTCACACCGTCTCCCACAGCATTCTCCTCGAGAAGCTGGCGGCTCACGGCTTAGACAGGGGTACTCTGCGCTGGGTCAAAAACTGGCTGGACGGCCGGGCCCAGAGAGTTGTGGTGAATGGAGTTACATCCAGTTGGCGGCCGGTCACGAGCGGTGTTCCCCAGGGCTCAGTACTGGGGCCGGTCTTGTTTAATATCTTTATCGATGATCTGGATGAGGGGATTGAGTGCTCCCTCAGTAAGTTTGCAGACGACACCAGGTTGGGTGGGAGTGTTGATCTGCTCGAGGGTAGGAAGGCTCTGCAGAGGGACCTGGACAGGCTGGATCGATGGGCCCAGACCAATCGTATGAGGTTCAACAAGGCCAAGTGCCGGGTCCTGCACTTCGGCCACAACAACCCCATGCAGCGCTACAGGCTTGGGGAAGAGTGGCTGGAAAGCTGCCTGGCGGAAAAGGACCTGGGGGTGCTGGTCGACAGCCGGCTGAACATGAGCCGGCAGTGGGCCCAGGCGGCCAAGAAGGCCAATGGCATCCTGGCCTGTATCAGAAATAGTGTGGCCAGCAGGAGTAGGGAAGTGATCGTGCCCCTGTACTCGGCCCTGGTGAGGCCGCACCTCGAATACTGTGTTCAGTTTTGGGCCCTCACTACAAGAAGGACGTTGAGGTGCTGGAGCGTGTCCAGAGAAGGGCAACGAGGCTGGTGAGGGGTCTGGAGAACAAGTCTGATGAGGAGCAGCTGAGGGAACTGGGGTTGTTTAGCCTGGAGAAAAGGAGGCTGAGGGGAGACCTCATCGCTCTCTACAACTACCTGAAGGGAGGTTGTAGCGAGGTGGGTGTTGGTCTCTTCTCCCAAGTAACTAGCGATAGGACGAGAGGAAATGGCCTCAAGTTGCGCCAGGGGAGGTTTAGATTGGATGTAAGGAAAAATTTCTTTACTGAAAGAGCGGTGAAACATTGGAACAGGCTGCCGAGGGAAGTGGTGGAGTCCCCATCCCTGGAGGTATTTAAAAGACGAGTAGATGAGGCACTTAGGGACATGGTTTAGTGGACATGGTGGGGTTGGGGCGACGGTTGGGCTTGATTATCTTAGAGGTCTTTTCCAACCTCAATGATTCTATGATTCTATGATTCTCATTTTCTTGTTTCTGTCAAAATAAAGAGTCACAGAAGGTCTATATACATTTTCCATTGTTTTGGAGCTTTGGATTTTTTTTTAAGACTTTCCAGTGCTTTGTAGGTCTGGTTTAGACAACGTAAATATTGTGGGGTCTGATCTTGCAAGTGTTGTAGTATCTGTGGCTACTGTTAGGGGAATCGGACCCAGAGCTTCTGTGTGATGGTTACCTCCTTTCTTATGATGATCACTGGCAGACACTCTCATATTTATCTTGTCTTGGGTAGATTAACTAAGGTGTACCTCCTGTCTTGGGCATAGCTGATTTATGCTTGAAGTGAGGATTTTTTTTTTTCTCTTTTCTGCTGAACTAATCTTTTGTGATAAACTAACAATGGCAAGGGGTGAGCTGTGATGTTAAAGTGGTGGTGGCTTTTCTTTTTTTTTCTTTTTTTTTTTTTTTCTTCTTTCTTTTTAAGTCTACCCGCTGCCTCGGGAGGAAGGCAGCTACACTAATAATATATCTAGTCTCTATGGAAGGCCCTCATTTGAAAAATCTGTAATTGAGTGGACAAAATTTCTGGTTGCTTGAGAGGATCTATTCAGAAAAGACTTGAAAAGGATGAGGGAAAAGCATGCTAGACAGCAAGAAGTACTAAAGGCTCTATTGAGCAGGGAAACCTATGTAGATATTGTGGGACAATTAGACTTGTCAGGCAAAACACTAAAATGCATTTATGAGCAAAAAATCCTGGGGAATGTTAAAGCAAGCTTGACAAAAGGTAAAGAGCTTGCTAGGAATACCTTAAAAGCAAAAGAAGTTGATTTGGGTGATCTTTGAAGGAAGGCAGATGATGACTGTTTCAAAGAGAAGGTGCAGAACGTGTGTTAGTCAGGGATTTTGCCCATTTTTTTCCTCCAGTAGCTAAAACCCTAAAGCACAATTGCTGGGTCAGCACCATGTGGGAGAGCTCATAACTTAGTTAAGTTTATTTGCCCCTTTGCTCTTTTTAGAGAGCTATTCCAGTACGCAGCTTCCCTGGTGCCCTGTTTGGGGGTGCTTTCACACTGTCTGCCTTTTCAGCCCCTGCCTTTCATGCCTGCTTTGGAAGCCAAGGAAGACTCTGCTATACAGAATGGAGTGGATTTGTTCCCTATAGTCAAGGCAAATAAACCTGGGAGGTTATCCGTATTTGAATGACTGCCTCTATTCCAGTTTTGTTGTGTGAGGTTTTAAGATTGGTTAATTGCTTAGATTTGACAAACTAGCTTTTGCCTAGCAAGGTTTGTTTTGTTTCCTTGATCAGTCGCTGATGGCAGCGGATAGTATGGTGCATTAATGAACAGTCCCTGGCACACTGTGAATGGGGTTTGCTGTCACGTAAGTCAAAACTTCAGATGCCTAAAGATCAACCCATTAGTGATTAGGCCAGTGTCAGCTCTTAGCCTATTTTTAGGTTTTTACTGGTGCTTTACTCTTTGATGTAAAGACAGCTGTGTGCCCCTCGCTCTTTATGTAGACCAAGCTTTTTATTTCCACATCTAAACAAGCTGTCTATTGTTTTGATCACTCAGTAATCTCTTTCTGCAGCTCTCCTGTTTGAATTCTTGTTAATCGTGGTGACTACGAGTGTGTGTGCTGATTCGGATGTGGCTCCAGTCCATATTCAGTAGTGTAAATATTTCCATATTTAAATGCAAATATCTCCTCTGATAAGCATTTAACGTAGCCATCCAAATATGTACAGTGGCTACACATGCCTTGCCGGCTTGGAGGGATGTCTGACCAGGCTTCTTGCTGTTTTGTATTTATGCATGAGAAGATGGTCATGTGTGTTTTGAAGAAACCAAATGCAACTTAAATGCACTGAGTGCAGTTTACTTCTGAAAGTAAATTGTCCTGTGTCTCTTCTGAGCTACATTGGTTTTCCACCAAAGTGTCCTAGAATCCCTGCTCTGATAAAGTTCTCCCAGAGGTCTGCCAGCTGGCTTTTTATTCCTTTTCCTCTTCCTCTGCTGCTTTCTTTCTCATCCTGCACTCCTCCATCTTCTTCTATTTTTTTTTTTTTTTTTAATTTTTTATAAGGTTTTGGAATATCTTCAGAAGTCTTGGTAAAGCAGTTAAGTTTAAACCCTGGATTTAAAAGAAATTATTCTTACTTCCTTTTTCCTGTTATTGCATTTGTTAACTGTTCGGGACATACTTCCAAAGACACCTCCTTCTGGTAAAGAAGGAACCACATTTTTAAGAAATTAATTGTTACAGTGTTTAAATTTCTCATTTTCATACAGAACACCTGAAGAAACGCCTGGAAGATTATATGGCCCAGTTCCCGAATGTAAGAATCCTCCGAACCAAAAAGAGAGAAGGGCTGATAAGAACTCGAATGCTGGGGGCCTCTGCGGCAATAGGGGATGTCATCACCTTCTTGGATTCCCATTGCGAGGCCAACGTGAACTGGCTGCCACCTCTGTTAGGTAAGCGTGTGGTGCTGTACATGGCTGAAGACTGAGCTGCTAAAGAGCTGGCAACAGATGTTGGTGTTGAATTTGTTTTATTTCCACCTGCTGCTTTCTCTTCATGCTGTAAGTGGACAAAAGGAAGATGAAATGTCTGAAAAGGGAAAACAAACAAACAAAAAAAACAAAGAACAAAAAAACCCCAAACAACCACAAGACTCAGGTGATTCGTTTGCAACTTGTAGCCTTTAACACAATTTTTTTTCTGTTCTAGAGTCCTGCACTGTACAATAACCCTATCATATGCTTTGCTTAATTAAAGAGCAGAGATCGTATTCTTCTGTTTCCTCACTAAATGAAATCCTAAATAATTTACAGCTTGCTATAAGAGTAAACTGTCGCGTGGTCATTCAGCAGCTTGCAGAGAGGAATGGCTTTATGATACAGAAAAAATCTTTATATACAGTTTTTAAGTAGCTTTTAGGGGTTTTTTTTCTCCTATATAACTATATTTAACTTCATAGTCTGCATGCCTGTGGAAGATACTTCTTGTGAATGACAGCTGCTGGTATGTATTTGTAGAACATGTGCAGTCCTTTCCAAGGCAGAGCTTCATCTTTAAGGAGGCATCAGTTTTACAATGTCAGTTCTTTTCAAGGATGACTAATTGAAAGGACAGTGCCTTCTGTTTCTGGTACCTGTATGCCTCTGGCCAGTACCAAACTCCTTTACAACCCTATTGCAAGTGACCTGTCAAAGCTCTGAGGTGTGACTTCGTCAAACTGTGGCGACAATAGTCAAGTGGAGGTTTAAGAAAAACTAGTCAGGTTTGTCAGCAGGATTGTTGGATGGTAATACTGTTGCTTTCACTACAGTTTGTATCTGGCGATAGTGTAAAACATTTGCAGCTTCGTGAGCCCCAGGGAGGGAGGACAGAATTAGCTCAAATGCCATTTAAATGAGAACATGTAGAGTATGCTTTAATTTTAAAGCATAGAAGGGATTTCTGTTAGACATGCATTGGAAGCTGAAACATCATCTGTCGCCTCTGCTCTGAAAGTTAACTTCCAACAAGAGACCGTCTCAATATAGTGTAAAACATTTGCAGCTTCGTGAGCCCCAGGGAGGGAGGACAGAATTAGCTCAAATGCCATTTAAATGAGAACATGTAGAGTATGCTTTAATTTTAAAGCATAGAAGGGATTTCTGTTAGACATGCATTGGAAGCTGAAACATCATCTGTCGCCTCTGCTCTGAAAGTTAACTTCCAACAAGAGACCATCTCAATAAAGTATTTAAGAAGTTCCAGATGTTTATGCAGGAATTAATCCTGTCTTGTATTATTTGGATGGAAGAAAAGGTTGAGGGGAGGAGGTACACTTGCATTTCTTGAGCCTGCTGAGCATAGTTATGCCATTAGTCTGAATTGCTTCCTGCCAGATTCTGGCATAGCAATTAAAGCTAGGTGGTACAATGGGTTATTGCCCTGGCTTTGAATCAGTGCAGAAAGAGTTCACATCCCAGTCGCTTGTTAAAATGAGGACTGTTCACTAAGTACAAGATTGTCTGGTTTTAGCCTGGCGGTTTAGTATCTGTGGTAGTGTGGCTGTGTCTTTCCATTCTGCATCTGGGTGATGGTCACTGTAGCGTGAGTGCCTGGTGTTTTTATCTCAATAGTTCTAGCTTGAATATCTCAGTTATTGCAGAAATACCAGATAACTTGGTATAAATTGGAGCATCTGCCCAAAAGAGAATGAACAGGAAGAAAGCTATGTCGTTCTTGGACAACTTCATCTTTTGATGCTCTTTTCTGTAATTTCATGGTCAAAGGAACCAACTGGTGCAGGTTTTCTAACATGTTTCTCCAATCTTCAGATCGCATTGCACGAAACCGCAAGACTATCGTTTGCCCTATGATTGATGTTATTGATCATGACCACTTTGGATATGAGACTCAGGCTGGAGACGCAATGCGAGGTGCATTTGACTGGGAGATGTATTACAAGAGGATCCCTATTCCTCCTGAGTTACAGAAACTTGATCCCAGTGATCCCTTTGAGTAAGTTACTGAAATGCAGTGTGCTAAGAGCTGGCTAACAAAATAACACCCTGTTAGAGGGTTGGTTTACACCTCAGTGTAGTAAAAGTCAGAAGCTGGTGTTAAGCTACTTGCTTTTTGGCAGCTGTTTCCTTTGTTGGTTTAAAAGAAATGCATTGTGTAGTAGCTGTGAACACTCCCCTTTTCATTGCTATTTTTTGCCACCTTAATTCCCGCAGAAGTTAACATTTCATTTAAAACTGTAATGTGTAACATTTATTGTGGTCATTTATTACTGAGATCTTTCAAACATAACTTAGTATCCCTAATGCTCTGCCAAAAACAACAAACCAATGGTGGCTTATATGTCATTCCCAGGTGGGGAAGCAGAAAACCTAGCAGAATAATTACAGCAATTTTCATGATTGCAATGTATTGCAGAAGTAAATCTGTGATCAAGTTATGTTCTGCTGTTGCTGTGCTTGCCAACATTGAGACAGTTCTGCTGTCCTTTATACTTCTGCAGTATTCCAAAAAACCCCAACAAAACACTTGTTGAGGTCAAGCTCAATGACTTGATCCTACTGCTGAGACAGAGCACCACATGCGCAGCATATGGGTCCCTCTGGGAGAGGTTATGTCCTGTCACTTAAGGGTGAACTCTTTTACCTGTTTGGAGGAGAGGCATTGACCGGTTCTGAAGGGAGCCTAGTCTGGTCCTCCTCATTTGCAAGTGGGAAATTAGTAGATAATGCAAAAACAACTGTTTGGTGCTCTGACAGGGCAGCAAAGGCAGCCAGAACACTGGGTGGTGAAAAGAACATTTGTCAGCTCTTGCTTTGTTTTTTAAATGTTTAGCCAGACATCTGTATCTTTGAATGTGTTTGTAATATGGAGTTTGGTTTTTCCTTAAGGTCTCCTGTAATGGCTGGAGGACTGTTTGCAGTCGATAGAAAGTGGTTCTGGGAGCTGGGAGGGTATGATGCAGGTCTGGAGATATGGGGAGGAGAGCAGTATGAAATATCCTTTAAGGTGAGCTATGTTCTCTGGAAATTACTTTTGTTTTGAAAAGTAAGAATTGTTATAAGGCGCAGAATGTGAATGATCTATCTTGTCCTTGCTTTTGCGTGTGACTAAAGGTGAAAGAGCTGGGAGTAGTAAGATAGTACACAGAAGAAACAGCGATGATGTGATCAGTCATTTGTGAGGGTCAGTTTTGGAGCATGATTAGCTGGGGTGTCCCCCCGTTCTGTGGTCACAGCTTCAGGTGCATGTGCTCTTCCCAACAAGGGTAAGTCAGCTTGCATGGAGCTCACTCTGACTGTTAGGCTTCTTAGTACTCACTCTGGCAAGAAGATGAAATACCCTCCTTCTTGAGGGATGGAGGATTCAGGCAGCTCAGTGTTTGCCCAGTTGAGTACCTCAGTCCTGAGCTTGCGTTCCCAGAGATGAGAGTAACTTAGTGTCTATTGTCAATCCACCTGTCTCCTGGCTGCAAGGAACTGAGACTATTAATTACCCTGTAAGAAATCCTCAACAATTGGAATAATAACGCTGTTGCTGGCAATGACTTCAGATTATTATCTGCCTGGCTTGGGGACAATTCTGTCACTTACTGATTGACCAAGCTGTTCAGTTGAGGGCTTTAAAATAAGAGTTAGCCAGCTGACCAGAAATGCATACTAATAGTAACGAGTCACTGTGACCCACGAAGACCGCTGGTACCTGTGTTATCTTGGAATATGGCACTCTGAAATCCGTTCTAGGAAACCCACTGGAATGTCCCAGACCACTGAAGGCAGGTGGCTATTCTTCTCTTCAGTGGTGGGAATCCTTTCCATAGCCTGGAGCAAATAAAGATTTCTACGTTAAACTCTGTTTGGGCCACCGTGTGGTTTCTCTTTCAGAGGCTGAATATATAATCTTATAGCTGTCTGAATGCCACTGAACTAAGCTAGTTGGCCTCAGCACGAGGCTAACGCAGCGCACAATTTAGCTTTGGCAGCTAAAATTCCTCATCGGTCTCCCCGACAAACAAGTCACGGCTGATCTCTCACAAAACAGATTCCTAATTCTTGATGCTGCTGTGCAATTCAAAGGCATATCAAACTATATTCAGCAAGCCATATTACCATACATACACACTGTGTACTACTGTACAGCAAATAATGCAAGAAAAGACATTGTTTTCAAGACAATGTATTTTCTTCCATTGTTTGCTCACAAAAAACCCTAAGTAATAAAGTCATATTGGAGGTCCCTTGTCCTCTGTAACGGTAGTGGGAAGGGAGGGGCAGGGGACACCCTCTTTGGAGATGTCATTACATTAATGGTTAGAGCCATTTATTCTTTGTGTTGCAGGTAGTGAAATTGTGTAACAGTGTCCTTCTCTGCAGGAGGGGCAGTGGCAGTATTCAGCCTCTTTTCCTTTTTGAAAATGCTGGTTTCCAAGAGTGATGACAGTGGCTGGGCAAACCCTTTGTCTCTAAAGCCACAGCAGACAGCCACACTGCTTGATCTGCAGGAAATAAGACTTCTTCATTTGTCTGTTTGCTTATCCTCTCTGAAACACGCTGTGTTTTATTTCAGTCCAGAGATGGTAATTTATGGAGGGATAAATTTGCTTTAATTAATCTCTGCAAAGACCCCCTTTTTTCTTTCATTGTGCAATAGAAAAATGAAGTTTTAACTGAAAAAGGCTCAGTGTATTTTCAGAAATTAAGATAAATTGATACATTCATCTGTGGCTGATAGATTTAATAATTCTGCTGGAATTGCAAGAATAGAAGGTTTGTTCATAGAATTTATGAAGCTATGACATTTCCTGGAGAGCTTAGAGCTACGTTTTTACCTTTAGAAGCAGACTGAGATTTTGTAGTTAAAGGGGCACTGTCAAATAATTTAAAGCTCTGGGTTTAGACGTGGGGTACCTGTTTTCACATTATTTATTATCTAGTGGGAATTCAGATTCTAAGTGTGCCAAATTTACAGCCCGGCTTTAACAAAGAATCCATTCCTGTGCTTGGAGTTGTGGGTGCAGGTACTCTTTTGTACTGCTGGTCTTTGATCCACTGCATCAAATCTGGCCTTCTCGTCCCTCACCAGGAGTAGATTTCTTTTTTTTTTCTTCTCCTTAAGCATATTCTTTTTTGGCCATGTATGGACTGTGCTTTACAGTTTTTTGCCTTTATTTTAAAATCCAGGGCTCTGTTGCTGAGAGACTGGAAATAAACAAGTTTATTTAGGAGCCTCTTGCCTTTCTGTTTTGAGATCGTATGTATTTCTGTCATCAGCTGGCTCTGCTTCCTTCTGAGAAGAAACTTTCAGGCTGAAGGCAAGCCAACAGAGAAACCATCAGTGTTTAGCACCTCAGAAAACATTGAGCCAGAGGATGAATCAAACTCTATTAATAGAAGCCTTGCTCCTTGTATGAAATGTGTACACCAAACATCACTAGAAAACATAGCATGCTGGAGGGACAAAAAAATTTAAATTAGAAATAAATGTTCTAACCCTAACTGCTGGTTTGCAGTTTTCTGGGTCTTCTCAATCCCTTAAAACAGAAATTTCTAGATTAGAAATGAAGGAGTCGATCTATCCATTCCATATTCAAGCAGAAAACACACGCTTCTTTCTTCTCTTGACCTGTGTATATCCAGAATAGCTCAGTGCCTATAACCCAGTACTTCTACAGGTCAGGGGTCTTCCTATTTCAGGTCATCATCAGATGCAATAGGAAGATTGCAGTCTTGAATTTTAGTTGCAGGCATTACACCTGTTCAAATGAGCCTCACTTTTTCATGAACCCTGCTTGCAGAATGCTCCAGGCAAACTGCTCTGCAGGTCTGCGTGGTGTAAGAACCATTCTCCTCCATCTCAGTGGATTACCAGATGCTGACCTTGGAGAACATTCTTGTATTCTGGAGAAAGGGTAAACAAGCATGCCCAGCTATTTGTGTGGCACTTGTTACCTTTCCTTTCTGCTGCCCCCAACTCTACAGCCGTAGTTTCTCTGTTCAGTGGACTTCATTGAGGTGGGGTTTTTTTTTTTGCTTTTTGGGAGTCACTTCCATACTTCTCCTCTCTTACACTTTTTCTGGTCTTTGGTATCTTTCTGCAGTGATGTGAACAAAGTTGAATACTTTACCCAAAGTGGCAATGTGTCCTTCCTCTTCTAAACACAACTTAATAGCTCTGATTTTCTGAATGCTCCTGCATACTCAATAAATACCTACATTCTGCTGCCTACATAACCACTTCATTTTCTTTGAGATTAATGTATTTAATTCGGAGCAGTATATATGAAGCATTTAAACTGTTCCTTTCTACAAATGCTACTTTGTAAAGCACTTATCTACGCTCAGTTTTATTTGCGATCATGTTGCCTCTTTTTCAGTATTTTTGTGGCTTCTATTCTGTTTGGCTTACGTAATCTTCACTGAACTGCTTCACGCCTCTCTTCCATAAATATATAGTCTTTGATTTTTTGGGGTATGGGGAAACAGAAGAGGAAAAAGTGTTGTCTCTGACTTGTATAGGCATAAATATAGATGTACTTTGTACCTCAGATATTGAGTGGTGTGGTTCTCAATCCTTTAATCGTACATTGAACTTCAAGAGCGAAGAATGAGAATCTGGAATCGTCCCTCACTAGGTGATAGATCATTTCAGTTTTAGAAATGTTTATCTTGTAATTTAGAGATTGTAAAGTCTTCATAAAATTCAAAGGGCTTGGTGCAAGCAAGCCATATCGACAGTTGCCCTGAAAAGAACAATTAAGGGGGAGGCAAAAGAGATGGGCAGCACTCACGTTCTTCACTCCTTGCTTCAGCACTAGGAAACATCCACTGCACTTATTCTGGTGATCATAGATCATTGCATTTTTCTAGATCCTTTTCCCAAAGCATCGACAGGGATTGCTTCTCTTGGTTTCCATAGCATAAAACATGTTGCATGTTTTCCAGCAAATCCAAGTGCTCCATAGCTTCTGTTTGCATATCTAATGCATGCATCTCCTTTGCCCCGTGTCAGCAGCACATTTCTGATTCACATTTTGCCACTGGCCTCCTGGCAGGTGCATAGTTAAGGTGCAGCTGCCAAGGGGTCAGTTCTGACAGCATTTCTAGTTGTATTGCTGAAGCTAGTGCTGATTGTGAGCCTCCACTGCTTATTCCAGGCACATATTCACACCACTTTCCAGCAGCTCACGTTTGCCCACACTGAAACAGGCCAGGCATTCTGCTACTTTTTTTGTGTTTTTTTTTTTTTAAGCCAGCACATGCTGCTTAATTCTAAGGCTCTCAGCTGCAGTACAGGGTGGCTTCTTTCTCCCTTCCTATCTGGTGATGCAGAGATCAGTTTCAGACCGTTGACTTGAATTTTTGGCCTTATTCCCCTATGTGCTTGGTTTCAGGTTCCAGAGTAGCCTCCCACCAAGCAGCAGCAGGAAAATAGACCCCCCTACACTCTGAAACGTGATTATTGGAAAGTGCTATCGTTACTCTAAAATGCTCCAGACGGTAAGGAGGGGCCATGCTGGTGTATGTTGTATGAGAGAAGGCGCTGTGCAAACACATAGATCCCTGTGCCTTTTGAGCTACCTTAATCTTTTATAGAGCAGTAAGTCCCAGCTGCAACAGCAGCTGATGCTTACAATACAGAGGATTACGATTTTCCTGAATTACTGGTTGCCCTTGCTTTCATCCTCTCACCTACCTTGTTATGCAGAGATCCCCCTTGACTTATCCACTGTGTCTTTTTCTTCCCACCTTTCAGTGTGTGCTCAGACAACCTGCCAGCTTCTCTTCATTGGTCCATCCCATGGTCTTTATTTCTGTTGTGGCTTGCAGAAACAGCTTTCTTTTCAAGGCTTGAATCTTTCCTTTGTGATTTTTTCCTCTCTTGGGAAGCATTGACTCATCATGGTGCAGTCTTTGGAAACCATAAACCTTGTATACCCAGATAATTTGTGTTCGCACACCAACTGCGGTATTGTATTGTGTTTGAGAGGAGAGGTTCAGCCGTCTTACGTGACATTGTTTTCTGAAACAGCAGAAAGGGAATTGGATCTGTGTAACGTTCTCATGTAGAGAATAGGTGGCATATTATCTTGTGCTTTCATAGCACGCTAGCTGAGTCAAAGGCTCTTGAGTTGCTTTATGAATATGGAGTTACAGCTCTCCAGGCCACTGAGAAGATGGAAGTAATATCACTGGTGATGTTATTTGACTTCTCTTGTATATGGTTTTATTATTAAGGTGGGATTGTGGCCTTAGAAAAATCTGTTGCAGTATGCCCGTTGACCTCAGCATAGCCAGGTTTTCTCTTAATTCCAGCAGATCTGTCAGCTGCTAGATTGCTAGCTCAAAATGTAGATTGGTAAAATTCTGCCTGAGGAGGAAGAGAAATTTCCTATTCTCTCCTAATGAGATCTGATTAGATCATTGTGTAAAGCGCTGCCTGCCTGACCAGCTTTAATTCTTGTTCATACGGCGTTCTAGTAAATGGCTGACTGAAATTAAGTGCATCAAGTTCAGGCTCTGATGTTTACTGTCGTGTCAGCCAGGGAGATGAGGCACCATCTCACCCTTCTGTAAAACAAGAACAAGAGGAAACTGGCTCCCCTAGCCTAAGGCGAACACAGTAAGTGACAGTCAGTGTCACTGTGAAGGCACAAGGTGTTGCCCCACAAACAGTGCTGTTTCAGCTGTTTGACAGTGCTGTATTTTTAGCAGTGTAAGTTCCGGTGTGTCATGCCTGTGAACTGTACCCTTGTTTAAAAACAACCAAATATCGCTAACTGAGTTGAAGCATTCTCTCAGCTAGCATGCAGCTATTTTGGGTTTGCTTCACTTGCAGTTATTCCTTGACAGACCCTTGGATGTGATTCCCCTGACCTTTACCTCTAGCTTTCTAATGCTTTTGTTGGCTGTGTTTTACCAATGCATGTCGTGCTCTTTCCCTCTCCCCCTTCTTCCAGTTTTATAGATAAAGACTGGTAATTGTCTTTATGGAGGTTGTAATGAGTTCTGTCACTGCACAAAGCAGCTCACTAATAAAATAAATCAAAGCAGCAATGAATGAATGGAAAGCCTGCTTTTAAAATTAGATTTGTACTGCAAGTGCCACACTGTCACTTGCAGCGTGAGACAATGTTAAAAAGGCACTGAGTTGGCAAAGTACCTTGAAAGGGTCACTGAGCTCTGGTAGCAGGAATTAGGAAGCTTTCTGTTGCCTCCACACAGAACTGGTAATTGCAGCATCATTTGGGAGTAAATACTTTAAAGCACAGTTAGGAAAAGAGCACGTAAAACTGATCTTAGATTTTACTTGTTCAGTAACTCGGTTAAGAAGCCTTTTTTATCATGTCATTACATGTGTTTATGTAACGTCGTCTTCTATGCCTGGAGTCTTGTACAAGCTTGGAGCTCTTGGCCCAACATATCACCAGTTCTGTCTAGCTTCCCATACCCCCTGCCCCTCCAACGTACCACTCGGTAGATAAGTGCTGTCTGTATTATTGCTTCACAAGTTCTGCAGTGCAAGGACAGCGCTCTCCTCTCTAGCTGCATATTGACTGCAGGGGTCTGTTTCTCACTTAACTTAGGGAAGTCGTGTTTTCAGAGGAGATGCGTATTCATGGTGGCCTGAATGAAAGCCTTTCCTTAGAGATCAAGGGCAGGCCTTAGAGATCAAGGGCAGGTAAGGCATCCTGTGGGCAGGCAGCAAGAATAACAAGCTGGTGTTTTCGTTCAGGCTTGTGTTACACTAAAATGCAGCTGCTTGTGAACCGATAGGGCTTTCGTGATGTAGGGTGCAGTGCACAGGGTAAGAATACGGGTTGTTGAGGAGTGTGTCTGTCTGTGCAACTGAGCTCTAGGGTTCTTCAGCTGTTCCTGCAGTTTTTTATAGTTCCCAGATCTGTTGGAGATAAAGACTGGTAATTGAAAGAGTCTTGCACAAACCATTTCTGTCGTAGAAACACAAAACATCCCCAAATTCTTGTTTTTTCAGTCTACCTGTTAATTTCCTAGCAGAGAAATCACACTGTGGCCCTCTGCAGCAAAAAGTACAGCAGCTATAAAATAAGAAGCATTTCTAATTCCACTAGAAACTTCACAGAAGCTGAGCGCTAGTTTCTTTTTTCATCTTCATCTCTTCTGTACCAGCCTCTCAAGACACAGCAGGGACAAAAGGAATGAAATTCTGTAGAAGGAGTGTTTGTCAACTTTCTTCTTGTCTCTCTCACCATAATGACATGTAATTAAGTACCTTGAACTTTAGAAGTTGCCTGTGAAAAATATTCCTCTAACTGAGAGCAACCAACCTCCATTAAGTTATACGCAGTCAGCAAATGACTGTAATTATTAGGGCCAGTAGACAGAGCTGAAACTCCAGAGGACTTTAGTGTCAGAGCTAATAATTATGCAGCAGCCTTGGCCAAATATTTCTCTTCCAAGCTAAGTATTTAATATTGTCACTGTAGAATATTAATGGAATTGCCTGCTATGTGTGAAGCTGTTGACTAAGCTCATTGTACGGTGAACTGCGGTGGCTCAAATTAGCCACAGTGAATGGAGAGATCAAGAACACTGCATCAGCCTGCAGGACCAGCAGACCTTCTTAAATACTGCTGCCTTCAGGGCATTAACATAAGATCTGGGGACAAAATGAAGGGCAAGACTGTCATGCTTCAAGAATTCAGAAAGTCATTTGTTTTGCATACTGGAGGATATTTTTTCTTTAAGTATTGATTAGATATCTCTGGCAAGTACATAAGAATATATTTCTTAAACCTAATGAAGTAGGTTGGCTGGTTCAGAACACATCTCCTTTGGTTTTGCTTGGACAAAATTATTACATCCATGCTATAAATAAGGAATAAAAGAAAGTTGTTGCAGAGGGTTGGCATAGAGTGAAATCTTCCCAGATGGGGGAACAAACTTCTGGGTCTAATCTAGACATTAACCAAGCATCAAGGTAGTCATCTTCAACTAACAGTGTGTTCCAGTGACTTTCTGAGGGCTTTTTTAAAGCTAATTATGTTTTCACCAGCCAGGGATTTCTACTTAATTGTAAAGCTGCAAAAGTAATGAGTGCATATCAGCAATGAAACCATACGAGAGCAGTGATAACCACGGGAAAAAGTAGCAGTTTATTCTGTTTTCTGGCACTTGAACAGGCTCATGAATTCCTTGGAGTGTTTTGTGTAACACATGACCTGTACTACAGAGATGGCCTCCCTTTTACAGCAACATTACACAACCTATACCTAGGTCTTATATGGCAGTCCAGTTTAACTATTGTGGTTACTATTGCTGTAATAACATATAGCAATTTAAAGTGTGCTGTTCTCTGGGTGCTTGGATTTTTTTTCTGTTCTTTTCTTTAAAGAATGCAAAATTGAACTGTTTAGCCATTGGACTTGATAGCACTTCTGCTAAATCAAGGCTTGCTGCATGGCTTTAAGCAGGTAGTTATAGGATTTGAGACTAAGGCAAAGTGGGGAGGGCATTTGGGAGAGAGTGTACTTTAAAGTAAAAAATCTGGGTTAAGCTTTTTCATGATTTGAAAGTCTTTCTTTTTTTACTACTTCATTTTTCTCCATATAACCAAGAGTGAATCTGTATCTCTCCTGTTCCACAGGTATGGATGTGTGGGGGTCGCATGGAGGACATCCCTTGCTCTAGAGTTGGACATATCTACAGAAAATATGTTCCATACAAGGTTCCAACTGGAGTCAGCCTGGCAAGAGTAAGTGGTAATAGCATTCCCCACAACAGATGCCTGACTGCAATGTGACCATGCTGTTGTTCCCTCTCACCCCACAATGGGAGGCAAATGTAGGCTTTGTAGTCCATAAATTGTAGTCATACAGTGGTCAAATTGAGCAGTTTTGCAGTGGTGGATGTGTTGCGCAAAGGGAAGAGAGCCTAGGGGAGCTGCAGGCTCATGTGCAGACAGCTGCCATGCTCCAGGCATCAGCCATTGCTAGGTGTTGGGAAGGGACTTTGCGATCAGGCACTGGCTATGGAATCACCAGTAAAAACAAGATAATTTGTGTAATACTTCAGTCATTTTATAGCTGCACTCTCCAAGAGCAGCAGGCTTCAGCGTGGTGATTGTGTTTTGGTGATTGAAAGACCTCTCAACTTCAAGCATCACAGACCACTGAATGGGCAAGCTGTAATTTTCCACGATGGAACATTCTGTGCCATCTTATTTCTTAATCTAGTGTAGCCCAAAGAGGAAAGAGCTTTTGCCTATCATGCACTAGCTTTCTGCAGTTAATTTCCAAACTGAGAAGGGATTGTATTGCCCTCTGGTGGGAGAAAAAAATCATAGGAGCAAGAAGGCTGCAAAACTAAAAAACATAAAAAGGTACCCTGCTGTTCTGCAGTCTCATGGCTTGCACAATATTAAAATGTTTCCCAGTTTAATAGCATTGCCCTAGTTACAGATTTGGATTTATTACTTAGCCCAGCAATGACCTGTCAGAGCGATAGAGTGCTCTCCTCTCTGTGCCATCCCTTCAGGAAGGAGCTATATTTCTTTTAATTCAGTATTTGGCTCTTGCATACTCCTACAGTACTGGAAGGAGATGGCGGACAGGTGTAGGAAAGGCTGTTTCTTGGCATCTAAGATCGTACAGTCACCTTGAGATGAACACCTGCGCTTGTTGTGTATGGGCTGCATTTGGGGCAGGGTCAGCACACTGCTCATTCTTAACGTCCTAATTTTTTTGGTAGTAAATGACCACTGCTGGACTGACCACGTTCCTGCAAGGTGGGCAGTGCTGCTGGGTCACTGAAGTCATGACCGCACATGGCACGTTACTGTGCGGCACCAAGAATGTACCTGATGTTGCCAGAGAACAGTCCAAGGTCCAACAGTCTCTTGAGTGTGTTGTGACAAGCAGTAGGGCGAGTATTTCAAGAGGGTGGTGTTGATTGCCGTCTCGGAATTACACAGTGGATTAAGCTTTACAGCGATATGTGAAATATACTGCTGCCAGCAAGTAAACCCATTGCTTCTATTCTGAAGGATCATCACCTGAAAGTTCCATATTCCTGTGGTATTTCAGAGTTTCTCTTAAACAGCTTTTTACCCAAGAAAATGGAAAAATAGTGGTAGGAAAGAATATTGTGAACTGAAGCTTTCCAGAAGGGGGTACTGCAAATCCCATTCCTAGGTGGATATAAAAGATGCAATAAGAAGGATTTAAGAAAGCAGCTTTTTGTCAGGGACCTTTGAATGTCCAGTGGTATTTACCAGCATCATTTTCTGACTAGCTTCTTTACAGAAAAAAGGAAGAAAACCCAACTTTTGATTAATGTCGTTTTTCTTAGCCACAAGGAACTAGATATAATGGCCAAGTGCCAGGATTCTGTTTTGACCTCAGCTGAAAATATCTTTCTAAAAGTCCCTTGGAACTAGAGAATAATAAAAATAATCTTCGTCCTGAAGCTGGAGAGAAAGAGTGGATGTGAATGAAAATCCTTTCTGAGCAAAAACACGAGAGCTGTTCTGAATGCTAATGTCAGTAGTTTGTGCAGAGTGTTCTCAGGTGTCTTTCTCTCATTTTCACACGTGGCTGTCACCCACACAGAACTTGAAGCGGGTGGCTGAGGTGTGGATGGACGAGTATGCAGAGTACATATACCAGCGTAGACCAGAGTACCGGCATCTTTCTGCAGGGGACGTCGCAGCTCAGAAGGAACTTCGCAACAACCTCAACTGCAAAAGCTTCAAATGGTTCATGAACGAGGTCGCGTGGGACTTGCCAAAGTTTTACCCACCAGTGGAGCCTCCAGCAGCTGCTTGGGGAGAGGCAAGTTTGTGCTCTCAAATCTGCAGTGGGCAAACAGGCTGCGGTTTGGTTTTTTAAAGTTGCCTTACCCATGTGCTCCAGTACCGCTTTGCTGTGGGTAAGGTGGCAAGCGAGTGTTTAAAGGTCCTACTTGATATGTCTCAAAGACCAGAACTCCTCTACCATTATATTGGCCTGATCAAAGAAGGCAGTTAGGCAGCTGTTTCTATTAGTGCACAGCTACAAAGAGAGTAGAGACTTGGCTTCTTCTGCATCTTGCGTATTTAGTAGAAGGCAGAACATGCCAACAGGGAGGACTAAGGAGAGGCGGCAGCTGAGCAATAGTAGGAATCTTGTATTTCCAAAGAGCTACAGAACTGTGTTGAGCTACTCTGCTCCTTAGCTTTCCCATCTGAAAGCCAGGAAAACCACCCCTGGTTTTGAGTCAGCTGTGTTCTGGGAAAAGAATCACACCAGGAGTGAAGTCGTGGATTGTTACGCATAACAACATAGTGGGCTCTGCAGTTCTGTAGCTAATGGGTTTTGCTGTGTCCTGGAGGTTATTGTACAGCTGACGATGGGTCCTATTTTGAGTTCCTGTGCTTTCTTCTAGCTGTTATCTGCCAGCTCAGATACGTAGTTAAATGAGGAATCTTAAAACTGTCTTCATACAAATACTGCCACTATTTGAGGCAATTTAAGCCTTCTTTCGTGACACTTAGTAAGAATAGGAGATTCAGTGACTAATTTACTATTTCAGGTACGCAATGTAGGAACTGGACTGTGTGTGGATACTAAGCATGGGGCCCTGGGATCCCCACTGAGGCTGGAAAACTGTGTGAAGGACAGAGGAGACGCAGCATGGAACAACGTGCAGGTAACAGTCCCTCTGATAAATCATCGGCCCCTAAATAAATGTGGGGAGGGAGAAGTTATAAGAACAAATGTTTGAGAAGGAAGGCGGTTGCAGAATTCTGTCAGGTGAACAGAGGATGCTGTGCACCCCAAGGCTCATGTGCTAATTGTACTTGACGGGCTTGTAGCAGGATGTGGCTTGTGCTTGTGGCAGGGTTTGGAGCCTGGTTTGTGCAGAGCTTTTACCTCCGCTTTGAAGTTCTCAGAGTGAACAAAAGATAGCACAAGCAAACAATATGCCAAAATAATAAAAGAAACCAGTAACAAGGCAGCTGCAATATGTAACAAAGTGAATATTAACTTCAAAGGTTGTACTGAAAGAAATGATAGAGGAGCATCATGCATATTAATGAACCTGCAGGAGCATTCAATAACCGCTTACTATCATCCCTCTGACAGGAGGCAAATGCATTATAAACACCCAACCATTGCGGGAGAGAGATGAAACCGGCCAGGCTATAGATTCACCCTCTCAACATATAAGGTGCCAGAAATGACAGCTTTATTGTAACAGAAGGGAAGGAAATATTAGTTTGTCTAAACTGTAGCAGCTGAGCTGAGAAGAGATCAAGAAAACAATGCCTCCATTACAGAGCCATGCATAACTCTTCAGGGGAATGGCTTCAGGAGACAGAGGGTTGTTGCATATCAATTTTGATGCATGAAAACTAGAAACAAAACCAATTTACTCGGGCACAGTCCAAAAATAAGCTTCTGTTGTGTCAGGAGGATCTTGAACAATTAGTGTTGGCTTATGTTTAGGAGGAGAATGTGTTTTGAACATCTGTGTAGCATTGAGCCTAAATGATAGTGGTAATTTCTCTCCCAAGAGAGGTTTAGGAGACAGACAGAAACAAAGTAGCTTCTTTGTGCAAAAGTTTTTGGCCGTGCTGCTTGAAATAGTAGCACCCTGCTCATTACTGGACTTTCTTACTGCCCCGTGAAATCTCTCTAAAGAGGACCATTCCTCTACCTGGCTCCAAAAGGAGCCCCCAGAACAGCCCTTCCCCTCAGGGACTGAGAGAGAGGTGTGCTGGCTAGTAGCCCTGCAGAACCACGTTGGCTAGTGCTGGTCACAGAGGACACTTGCACCCTTGCCAGAGGTGCTGCCCTTGTCAAAGCAGAAAGCAAAAGCTTGACAGCAAGTTTATCTTTTGTGGGATTCAGTCCTACGATGCTTAAAACATGTCATAAGCCAAACCATGATCATCAGACTGAAGATGCAGCTTGACCACGCTACTGTCTCAAGCCGTGGCCAAAAGCAAATGCCACAGGGGCAGTGCAAGGAACAGAGCATGCATGTGGTGGTACTTCCACCAACTGTTCTCCTGTGGTCCGATCCCTGTGGCTCAGGGATTTCCAGGCCACGCGTGCTGGCATCCAGCAACTTTAATCAGGGCCATAGCATTGCCAGGCATTGATAGGTTGTGCCTAGTTACTAGAGCTAAAACCCTTTCTCTTCTTTTCTGTAGTATCCCTCCTTTCATTTCACCCAAAAGCGCTGAGAGATCATTGCAGGATCAGTAGAAGAGAGCACCAGGAAGCATTGCCCTAGTGATTGCCCTTCTGACACTCCTGTGGAGTTGGGTGGGGAGCTGTGGGCCTCCCGGTCTCTTGTCCCAGAAGGCGTGGGACAGACTTTTCTCAAGGTGACTGCAGGCTGCCTGTGCAGACTCGGGTATTTACTGCCAGCCTTAACTCGGAGCTCCTGTAGCTCTCTGCCTTTTTTGCTAGCAGTGAAGTGCTGTAATTGGTCAGCTGCTCACTTAATCCATGATGTATGTCTGCATTGCAGAGACATTCAAGGCTGCTATTAGTACCCAAGCTAACTAGCATGGCTGTTTGCAGCAGCACAGTCTCATTTAGCATGCTGTGTGGCAGTCCACGGGGTAGCTGTTACAGACTCCCCTAGTCAGCAGTCCCTGTCCCCAGAGGTGGAAGTTTTTCTCTACAAGATACTGTCCTTTCCCTGAAGCCATCCCCACCCTGTGGGCAAAGAAGGGAACATCATTCTGCTGGTGAAAGCACTGTGCCCAGTACCAGCCATCCTGAGGGTCCTGTTTGTCCTGGCAGGTATTCACATTCAGCTGGAGAGAAGACATCCGTCCCGGGGATCCTCAGCATACCAAGAAGTTTTGTTTTGATGCCATTTCCCACAGCAGCCCTGTGACCCTCTATGACTGTCATGGAATGAAGGGGAACCAGCTCTGGAGATACCGAAAAGTGAGTGTGTGCGCACGCGTGTGCATTTGCTCATTTAAGGTGTCAAATTGCCTGTAGGCACTTAAGTTTCCTTAAAATGTCACCACTCATGTTTTATTCCTCAGTTCATGTATCTGTGATAAGAGAATCTTTGGGCAATGTTGTCATTGTGCCATTAATTAACCTTGATTAGAAAGAGGTGACTCCGCTCTTTCACTGGTTAGAAATGGTGAGGACTTCTTCTCCAGGGCTTGCTAAGCAGACGTACACGTTCTCCTTGTAGTCCTGTCCGCAGCTGGCAGTGAGGTGACGCAACACCCTTGCAAAACCTGTTTGCAGAGAACTGTGCTGTGTTTATTGGTTTGTTCTGAATAGTAGAAGGTCATGCCAAAAGTAGATAAGGATTTATTCACCCTCCTACTAAGCAATGCTTTTGTGGCCAACAGGTGAGTAAATTCGTGACTCAATGCCCTGTCCTAGTCCTTGCAATCTGCATGCACAGTGCCTCAGAGTGACTGCAGCAGGATGTCAGCCTGCAGGCTGGGGAACCAGACCTAGCTTTTGAGCTTCCTAGTGCAGTTGGGAGGATTGGGCTGGATACTGTTGCAAAGGGTGGGAGTGGACCCTGACACTTACCAAGCAGTTAAGTGTGGAACAACTTCTTCAGATACATCCAAGTGACAAAATAGCTTGCCTTGGGTTTTAAGACTTCTTTCTGTTGGCTTTAAAACAGCTTTGCTTCTCTGCTTAGCAACCTCACATCAAATTTCTCTTCTCCAGGACAAGACCCTCTACCATCCAGTAAGCAGCAGCTGTATGGACTGCAGTGAGAGTGACCGAAAGATCTTTATGAATAGCTGCAATCCTTCATCTCCAACACAGCAGTGGATATTTGAACATACAAACTCAACCGTCTTGGAAAAATTTAACAGAAATCTTGATCTTTAAAAGACTGAGAATATATAAATATATATTTTACAATTATAGTTTTTACTGGGGAGGATTACAAAAAATTTTTTTAAGAATACTTTTTTTTAAACAGTTAATGAAGGTAAAAGGGAGAATCTCAGGAGAAGGTTAACTAGCAGGCCAGTCTTTATTGCAAAGATGCTGCATCCTTCTCTTCTGGGGATGGTGGAATTTTAAAGGCTTTGCCAGAGCCACTTCTGTGCTGAGACTGAACAAAAACTCTGTTTTTAGAGGAGTCTGAATGTGATTTAAACTGCTTTTTTTTTTTTTTTGCCTTTTTTGTTTTTTGTTTTATTTGCCACCTGGGTCTGGTGTTAAATGATCTTGTTATCTGGGACCCTCCAGGACTTTTTGTAGCTGCTATACTACCCACTGAAGTGTTCCCACATAGGTGCTTTATCTTCCAAAGTCCATCTAAGTAAAATCTAGAATGTGATTTAAACTGCTTTTTTTTTTTTTTTTGCCTTTTTTTGTTTTGTTTTATTTGCCACCTGGGTCTGGTGTTAAATGATCTTGTTATCTGGGACCCTCCAGGACTTTTTGTAGCTGCTATACTACCCACTGAAGTGTTCCCACATAGGTGCTTTATCTTCCAAAGTCCATCTAAGTAAAATCTTGAACACAAGATTTAATCCTCCAACGTCATAGCCATCAGGAAAAAAAAAAAGGGCCATCAAAAGGTAAAATGAAATGAATATTTTTTTTGCCCTAAACCAAAATGTATTTCAAACAGGTTGAGCATTATTACTTTCGAAATCGTAGGTCTGATAAAGGAATGAGCTCTAGTGGAAGTGCAGCCAAGTGTTGGGAATATCGCTGTAGTTATTAGCGATGAGCAATCTGGGTTTCTGGTCCATTCGCTTTGCAGTCAGTTTGTCACTCTGTTGAATCTTCAAGGTGAAAGATTAGCAGAGGGTTTTTAAGTAAGCACAGTTCTTACAGGTGAAGATTTTTGCTAAGAGCCTTTGGATATCAGGTTCCAAATTTGCCTTTTATTCAGAATCTTTTTAGCATGGACACGTCTAGGGTTTCTCAGAGTTAAATCTGCTACATGAATGCAACTTCCATTTTTCCTTTACAGGTTTGAAGGTTAACTTAATTCACAGTTGGTGTGAGCAGATTAATTCAGGATAATTAAGTCAGGGCTGAGGTTAGCCATTGGTCTTTATCCATTTGTTCTTCAGTCTGTAGTTTGCTGCAGTCATGAGTTCTGTGGTCAGTAGTGTTCTAGCCTTGTGGGAATGTGCTATTGATCTCTCCTCCTTTCCCAACATCCGCAGCACTGTACAGTGTACTGTGACTGGAAATCTGTTTGCTTAAGCAGCGATGTGGGATTGATGGCCCAATTTCACTAGTACCCTGTCCCTTGTGTAGTCAGTTAGCAGTGCAAGCTATTACCCTTCTGGTTTGGCTGCAGGATCTACCAGACACTGAACCAGAATTGTCTCATTCCAGGAGCTGGAAAAAAGTACTGACACTAAAGGATGAATGGAGGACCGTTGGTTTCAAGTCTGTCTTAAGCAAGTGTTTAAAAAAACCCACACTGGTTTGAAATTAAGTTGTTGCAAAAACAGAGTTAATAGTTCAGCCCGCTTAGTCTTATACTGAAGGCAGCAGTGGCATTTTCTAGTAAAAGCTGTGAATGACGGTGCAGTTAACCTTTTGCAAAGATGCTGCGTAAATCAATATAACTAGCCCTTTTCTGGTAATTGCCCAGCTCCGCAGTTTGTCCAGCTGAGGAGGTAGTGTGCAGCCAGCTCTGAGAGTGAAAGGCTGGAACACTCAGGGTAGGAGCGGGGCACCCCTCTGGGACTCTTGATAAGCATGGTTAATGGACTTCCCCCCTTTGGAGGGACAGGGAAGCTCTGCTCTGGGGTATCTTTCTCTCCTGTGAAGACAAGGAGATTTTTGCCTAGTGTCAAGAAACAAGCAGGCTGGTTCCCTCTGCAGAGCTCCAAAAGTAAGAAGCCCTTTCTGATGTTGCCAATTGTAGGATCGTTGCCCATGTTTCAGATGTCTTTGAGGCCATGTAGTGCTGTGTCTGTCAACTGGGAGCAGACCAGGACACAACTAGCTGCCTCTCAAGTCTGATGTATCGACTACGAGGCTCAAAATCATCTCCACCTCTCTCATCCTCGCAGCTGAGGCCATGTCTGACCTGCTCTGCCAACTTACCTGGCCCATGCCGTCACGAAGCAAGGGAAACACGGGCACTGCGTTGCAGCTGGGACCGGGCTTGCCAAATGTGTTGGTGTCTAACATTTTGGGAGTGAAGAAAGAAAAAAAGCTCTAAGCTTTCCTTGTGACAGTTTTGCAGCAGCATTGCTGTGGAAGTGAGACCAGTGTCAAACAGAGTTGACATCTTATGTTCTCAGTAACTACAATATGTCTGTCATTAGGATCTCTTTTCATTTCTGTGGGAGACAGAGCCACTTTCCAGTGCTTTGTGTCTGACTGTTGCTTTCCTTAAGTTATTAATGCTCTCATTAGTCTAGTAGTGCTGACTGTGGATCGCTAGATGGCCTGACTAGATGTCTTTATGAATGTTTTAATACCTGTGGAACAAGAAGCTGTTTGTCCATGAACAGTGCTAGTTTTTTATAATTGGGACACAATCAGCAAATTATATAAATGGACTGTGGGTCATTCTGCTTGCAGCTTGCAACTTTGTGTGTCTTCGTTTTCTAATGAGAGGATTAGCTTCTGTTTCTAAAATGCATGGCTTGCTTTGTACTTGGGCTCACCTTGTAAAGAGAGTCCTCACTGCTTGGCTTGCTGGACGCTTGCTTCAGAGAGAACTGCAGTAACAAACAGGTCTTTTACCACTTAACGATCTTAATTCGGAGAGAAAGGACAGCTCTTAGCAGTATGCACAAAAAGATTAGGTAATTGTTGAGGCAATTCCTGTTTGACAACCAACCACCAGTACATGGAAACTGGAGCTTTGGTGTGAGTGGTCCTACTGGGTCCTTCTCAGTGCGGTTGATCTGATCTGTTTTCTGAAGGTTTGGGATCTGAGTGTGATAAGTGCCCCACAAAGTCCGTACACTTCTGACTGGCTCGCTGCTGGGCTTTGAGCTATTAATTTATTTACATCAATTATACTTTTCAATACCCTAGAGGTTTTGCTGACTAATGACTTAATATAGCCAACCATCCACTGATTGAGAAATAGAAGCTGTATTTCATAATCTGTACCTTTAACTGAGCCTTTGCTGGGCAATCTGGTTAATTATTCCAATTACTTTTGGTTATTTGTAAGCAGAATTGCTAAAGCATGAATACATAAGCAAATCTTCACATCTGCATGCAAGTCAAGACTGGAGATTAAATACCAGTGATTATCTAATGCAAAATAAATGTTTTCATATTTTTTCCCAAAAAATATTCAAACAACCCTTCTCTCCGAGGCTGCATAAATTCTGCTGCTTTTAAGTATCAGAATCCCAGACAACAGGGAGATCCCTGGATGTGTGTTACGTCGCATAATAATACTTTGATTTGCTCTTGAAGCTCTTGTTGATTTATACTGGTGCTAATCTCTAAGGCCTACAAACAGAGTAATAGGTTTGGGGCTCTTATGTGTGCAAGATGTCTTTTTTCATGCCTGGGAAATTAACTTTCTTTCCCACACCATAACAGAAGAATGTGTGGGCCTTTCTGAAAGGGGAATACAGCATCATTAAAATAAAGATGTGCCTTTTTAAATGTAACTGTACAGCAAATGCTTAAACTTGAACCATTTCCTAGTGCCTTGCTGGACAAGAGAGAAGAGGGGAAGGGGTTGGGAGGTAATGATGTAAGAGAAAGCTTGCAGTGTTTGTGTGTGGTTTTTTTAAAATGTCTGACTTTAAGTGCAAAATTTGTGTGAACGACAGTAATTCAGAAGCTCCTGGGTTTCCTCTGTTAAATCGGTATCATTAATGACTCGGGGGGGGGTCATTCCTAATAGGAAGACTTGGAAAGGATGGCAGCTTCCTCTTGGTGCACTGTAACAACTACAGCTAGACCAGAGGATGTCTTGGTTAGCTGTTGGATGTTTCACCTCATGGTGAAGGCTCATGCATTTCACCGGCATGCAAGATCCTGCATTTTGGGATCTATTTGGGACAAATAGTCCCAAAGGGATATAAAATCTGTGTCTTTCAGAAAGTCGATGCCTTCCATCACTGGGAAACTTTTAAAAGGTCTGTTCAAATCTCTGATACAGAAGTAGCAAGAAAGCAATTTCTCAGCTTAACTTTCTTCCTGGTTTGTTTTACAGTAGTCTATGTACAGGGCTTTGCTTTCCTTTACTGGAGAGTCACAGTCGGCAAACTTTCCTCCTCCCTGCCGCACTGGGAGACATTGAGACATTGCCGCATTGAGACATCAATGTACTGAAAGTCAAACAGGCACCACCAGCAACCGGCACTGCGAGAACACAGTGCTCTCGTAGCTACTGCAGGATCATTACAGTAGCTATGCTGGCTCACATCACCGAGGGGAGAGGAGAGAGATCTCCTCAAAGTCATACTGGGCAATCAGGTAACTGCTGGGTAAAAAGGGAGAAGCATTTCTTTTAAATTGTCTTTCAAGATATGGAAAGACCCTTGAATGGTTCTGACTGGAGAGAACAGACAGCCTCTAGCAGTCAGCCTGTCACGCTTTCAATCGAAAGAGCCCTGGTAACATTATGTCTGAAACAGTCTGGCTCTGCTAGCACAAGGCTTTCAAGCGTACCTTGCATCCCACATCCACTGCCGGCTGCTGCGGTTCATGTTCCTACTCACCTACTGTATTTCTAACCACTTGCAAGGAGCCTGGTGGTGCCTAAGTCGGTCCTTATCTGACAAGCGGCAATCTAGGCTTCCATTTTAACAATCATTTAGCATGAAAAGATTCTTAAATAGTTAGCAAACTGTTGCCAAAATGATGAGTAGCTTTAGGTTAATGTCAGAGTCTGCGGGGGTAGGATTAAAAGGTCTTTCACAGGATGCGTAGCAAAAGGCGGGCTGGACTGGGAGTCAGGAGCACTGGGTCCTGCTCCCCGTCTACCAGTGACCTATTACTTGATCTTAAGCAAGGAAAGTCTGTGTGCTGCAATTTCCCAACCTGTGTAAGATTTAGCTTTAAGTGCTTTATTTGCTGACCTAATGAGTGTCGAGTCCATATTTTAAAACAAGCTGCAAGTCCTCACCTGGTTCGAGTGGAGGGGAGAGATGCAATGGTGGAGATTAACCTGTGTAAGATTTAGCTTTAAGTGCTTTATTTGCTGACCTAATGAGTGTCGAGTCCATATTTTAAAACAAGCTGCAAGTCCTCACCTGGTTCGAGTGGAGGGGAGAGATGCAATGGGTGGAGATTGGGAAAGCTGAGATCTGAAGTTTCCATCAGCATTCAACACACAGTTGTCAATTCATCTCATATTCCTCATTAACCAGTCAGATTGATTTATTCACATTCTAAATTTAAGGTGTAACTAAAATAAACTCACCTCCTGCTCCGATTGCTCCTTTGTAGTGTCACGCTTTAACTTGGACATCTGCGTATGAAACTAGGCAATGATAGATTATGGAAATCCTAATAAAAATCCCATGTCTGTTTTTTGACTCTGCCTCTGCTAGCTGAGTATGCTCCTTTATTCGCTGCATTTGAGCTTTCTTGATGCTTCTGTATGACCCAAAAGACTTCAATGATTCCAGCAGATGTGAGGGATTTGGGAGTTTTATATAAAGCCACTGGATCTATGTGGTCTTAAATCTACTAGTTCAACTCTAGGAAAAAAGTCCTAATCCCAATTAGTGAGCAAGCAAATGTGAACTTCAACCACAAAACAAGATAAAAACTGATCAAGCCAATAGGCTAAAACTTTAGCCTTTACAGTAACAATAACAAATAGCTTCAGCCTCTAGGGTGGAGAAGGGAATTGGTTTCAAAGTGCATTCTCCAGGATCTCGGCGATAAGGTCTAAGTTTGTCTATTCCTTGTACTGCATGCATTTTATCTGTAAAACTGGATGGTGCCTCTTGAATCAGTGTATATTTATTTCTGTGCATATTAGGACCAACAGCCTAATATCTGGGGGTGGTAAAGGACTTGTAGCACTTTAATGTAGTAGCTTTCATAAATTGGGAACCATTGATAGAATGCCTAGTGTTTTTAAAGTTGAATGGACTTCCTTTTATAATATATTTAAAATAAATTTTTAATGTGTTTTCTGAAACTGTGTATGCAGAAATGACTGTCCCTGCCTGTTTTGCTCCAGTGATTGATTTCCCTTCTCTCTACTTCCTATGAGAATAAGCTTAGTTACCCTGGTCCGGTGTTTCCTCAGCGTGGGCTCCCTGCCACGTCATGCACTGCTCTCCTCCAGCCCCTTTGGGAAACATCCTTCCCAGCTGCCCTTTGAAGGTATTGGGTATAAATTGCAGGGTTTACTGTGTTCACACACGAGCAGCTGACAAGCTCACACCTGAGGGCTGTGTTGCGCATACGTGGCAGGCTCAGGCAGCTGGGGGCTGCAGAGATGCCTGTGGGGCAGGAGCTGTGAACTCCTGCCTGCCCCTCGCAGCTGCTTCCAGCCAGCTCTGAAATCAGTGGAACAACCCACCATGCCCCAAAACTCCAGCCCGTCAGAGGACCCTGCAGCACTTCAGCTCAGACAAGTTTAACGAAGAGCGGCAGGCACGAGGGGAGGAGACACGTGAGGAGAAATGTAAGGAGACGTGGACAAAGCTGGAGGAGATGTGGAGGGAGACATGTTCGTGCAAGGAGGCGCTCCGTGCCCAAGGGTGCAATCCTGGAGGGACCATGGCCATGGTGGATGACTTGTGCCGAGGTAGGACACCCCCGAAGGACAGTGGCCATGGACAATCCCTGTTGGTTGGGCACACTGGGAAGCACAGAGGAGCGGAGAAAACCCAGCATGGAGAAGCAAAGACAAACAGTTACACACTTGACCCCGACCTCCTGCACCACCCGTCGCCTCACAGAATGAGTTGGGAGAGACTGCGTATGAACAGTGGCAAAGGGGGGGTGAAACTAGGAACAGTGGAGGGCAGGCTTTTGGATGAAATTTAGCCAAAGGAAGGTGGAGGAAAGGTGTTTGCTTCAGTGTGTGTTTTCTTTTTTCTCAATACCCAAATCGGTGATTAGAAGTTTGTGTTAACTGGCAACTAAGTAAAAATTGCCCAGGTTGATACTGTTGTGGAAGACAGTGTTGGAGCATCATCTACTGCAGTGACTGCCTCACGGTCAAGCTACGGCTGGCTTTCCATAGGGAGGAGCTTCTGAGTGTAGTTGGCTGCTGCTCTGTGTGGGTGAATACTTCAGAAGAGGGGCTGGGATGGAACTCTCAGGCACCCTTGTCCCCCAACCAAACACTGCAACGCTGTCATGTGTGGATGGTGACCCTCGTGCCGTCCTCCTTCCTGTCGTGCCTAGATGGTGACCCTTTGCAGTCCTCCTTGGAGCATGGGCCTTGTTGTCCTCTCAAGAACAGAGCCTTGCAGGTGAGGCCCTCTGAGAGCTGACACCTGGGCAGCAGCCACCATGCCGGGACACTTCCCTCCCCGAGTCTGTCACCAGCCATGTGTTCAAAGCAACACAAAAAGCTTTTTCTCAAAGGCAGTTTGTGTGTTTACTGCTGAGATATATGGCCATGAGAATAAAATGTTAAAATCACCCAAGCCTATACATGCATCTTGTCTGCACTACCTTTTCCTGTGGTTTGAGGGAGCTCAGCATCGCACAACTGTTGCCCAGCTTAGGGCAGGATGTCACTCTCTCTGCCTGTCTGCCTTGAGAGCAACCACTGGTAGATTCATCCTACATCTTGGTTTTCAGGGGGGAGTTTTTAACAGCTCGCTGCCTTTTTTGTGTTCTAGTCTTTAGGCGGGGAGAGCAGTCTTTCAGCCCAAGACAAGGTAAGTTTATAGGCATTGCTCATGGCCCTATCCCATGTTCCCATTTAGGACCCCCAGCACTTTCTACTGTCGCCATTTCCTTTCTTTTGTGGCCTTTCCAACACTCCCTTTTTACTGAACTCCATGGGGGGAAAAACAGTGAAATAAACGGAGGGGAGACAAACAATAGCATGTGTGAAAATCAGCACATGTGAAGGAAAGGAAAGGAACGACTCACTTTTGGGGGACTAGCAGATAACTGCAAAGCATGCTCCTAAGGGAAGACTGTGCCATGATTCTTGGCCATGGGAACATTTCCCAGGGGGAGTATGTGCCAAAAGCTGTGACAGTTTAAGCATTTTAGCAGGTTCAATATGTGCCACCCTAGAAAAATGCTGAGGAGAGTGGGAGTCTGGCGGAAGGTGCTAGGGCAGAGTCCCCATTGGCCCCCAAGGTACCGAAAATGGAAATGGTCTGATTTCTGACTGGAGGTATAAAAAAATAAAAAGGGCTTCTTCCCAGGACATCTTTGGCAGCACAGACCTTCTGGAGAGTAGCATTTCTGTCCCAAGAACCCCAAATGGCTCCATTAAAACAGTAAGTTCCAGATGACAGCTACATCACAGACTTATCTTTAGAGGGTAGTGCTGCTCCAGCTGAGATTTAAAGGCCTGTGCAGGTTCCCCTAATTTGATTAGAGGGCTGGCTTGGATGGGCAGGCTATTACAGCTTCAAAGACACTAAAGCTGCCTGGGTGCTGATGAGTTTATGAAACATTGATTCTCACTTCATTGCAGCTCCCACAAAGAATTACTAGATCAGGTTAGCGATAGATACCTAATAAAGAATGTCTCTGTGAAGCAGTGTATTTCAGAGCAAGCTAGTTCCAGACTAGTAGACTGTGAAATCTACAGGTTCCCATGAGGATAAATATGCTGAAATAAACTGCAGTTATATGAACACCTCCATGCACTTTTTTTTTTAAACTGAAAAAAAGGTGTCATTGTGTTAGCCTCAGCTGGAGGTACTTAGCATTGAATTAGCAGACAGACAGTGACAAAAGGTTTTCTCCTCTTAGTAGGCATTGCAAAACAACTTAAAATCTTTTCATTTGCATGGGATGAGAGTTTGCAGCCAAAGATGAAATACAATCTGATGGTAAGTACCAACCTGTTCTGGCACTGATGGTGCCCATTTCTCCAGCCACTCCCAGCTTCCCAAAGAATAGTCTAGGGAGCACCTGCAGAATCTCCCCCTCACGGGGACAGGAGAAAGTCCTGCCTGTTATGATCATGTTCCCTTTTATCTACTTGCTTGCTGCTATTATTATCTGCCCCTACAGTCTGTGCTTTCAGCTTCACAAACGTCCTTCTGCAAGATTTCCTCAGCCTGCCATACAATTTTCATTTGTTATGTTAAGATAAACCTAGAAAGCTTGCTATCCTGAGCTCCGGGATCACTGTCAGCCTTCTGGTGTTTTCCCTTTCCCAAAACCAAGGGAGTATCTGTATGGTTTTTGCCAGGAGGTTATTATTTCAGGCAGACGGATCCCAGGCAATTTGGTCAGGGGCTTTTATAAGTGGCAGCATCTTGCTTTTTTAAATCATTTTGCTCTTCACTAACTGCTTGTTGGTCTGCGGGTGAAGTCATTTGTTTCCACCACCTTCCCATTGGAGTGGCTGGCTTCTGGGAGCGGTGTCCCCAGGAGAGTGCACTGTGGTTCTCTAGTAATCACACAGACAAACAGGAATTAATAATTGCCTGAGTGCACCAGCAATAAAAACGAATACAAGAGGCAGAACTGTTGAGGAAGAGTATTAAGTCCCTGCCCCCCAGATTTATTCTGAGACGTGTTTGGTATTGCAAGGACTGCCTGGAAAATACCTATTTTAGCGTTTCTCAGTCTTCTTGTGGGGAGCAGGCAGAACAGGCTGCAAGACGCCTGTGTCAGTGTTACCGCGGAGCCGGCTGATCTGATGACCAAGGGCTTTGAGGAGTCTCTTTCTTGCAAAGGTATTTCGTGTGTGTGATTCAGCACAGTTCATCCCGTGCTAACGCACGCCGTTCCACATGCAGGATTTCAGTCTTTGAAGTAATTTTAGTCTATAGGACCTTTTTTCTGTTTGTGCAGAAAGCCTTTTCTTCAAGAAGATGAAATCCTTTCCCATTTACAGCTGCCCACGCACCTTTGACAATAGCATATGCTATCTGGTATTAACAGAGGTGACAGCATTTCCAGTTTTCTTTTCTCCACAGATAAGTAGGAATTTCTGCCCCCCACACTCCTCCCCCCCTTCCTCCCCCTTTTTACCTTTTTTTTTTTCCCCCCTGAAGATGAAAGAAATGCAAAGCTTCAAGTCGGATTGCTTTGGGAAACACTTTTCCAGGTCCAATCTTTTCACTATCACTGCCTTGTAATTAGGGAAAAAAAAAAAAAAAATCTTGTAATATTTCAGCCAGGGGCACCTACCCACACGACATCAGCGTAGGAGTGATGATGTAGCCAGGAACAGGCATTTGTGGAGCACGGCGACCTGAGTTATGTACGCGGGACTGGGCGAGAGCCGCCGGACCGGCCTGGCCGGTTTCCCGCTTC